AGCAGCTGTCCGGGTGGCTGGTCTCAGACGATCTTGGAGGTGAACATGCTGGATGTGGAGGTCCTGGGCTGGTGTGGTTACACGTGGTCTGCGGTTGTGAGGCCGGTTGGATGTACTGCCAAATTGTCTGAAACACCTTTGGAGACGGCTTATGGTAGAGAAATGAACATTCAATTCACGGGCAACAGCTCTGGTGGACATTCCTGCAGTCAGCATGCCAATTGCACGCTCCCTCAAAACTTGCGACATCTGTGGCATTGTGCTGTGTGATAAAACTACTCATTTCAGAGTGGCCTTTTATTGTGGCCAGCCTAAGGCACACCTGTGCAATAATCATGCTGTCTAATCAGCATCTTGATATGCCTCACCTGTGAGGTGGGATGGATTATCTCGGCAAAGGAGAAGTGCTCACTAACACAGATTTAGACAGATCTGTGAACAATATTTGAGGGAAATGGTCTTTTGTGTGTATAGAAAATGTTTTAGATCTTTGAGTTCAGCTCATGAAAAATGGGAGCAAAAACAAGTGTTGCGTTTATATTTTTGTTCAGTGTATATATACATGTGTATGTATTTTTTTTTAAATTATAACATTATGTTTTGACATAATGTTTACATTGTACATCTTGTATGTTACAAAATAAACATTTATATGTATGTATCATCAAAATTCAACATATATAAATATATATATACACATGTATATATGTTAAATTATATATATTTCATATATATTTATATATAACTTTTAATGTATATTTAATGTGCATATTTTGCACAACTTACATTTTTATACACTTTTTACATTTTATAGTATATATTTCATATATGACATATTCTATGTTTGATATATAAAACTTGTATATATGATACAACATACGCTTTGTTATATATACATTACTTTATACTTCATATTTCATATATAACATACATTCTGTTTGATAAGTTACATAACTTGTAGATTACATCACGTTAAATTAGAGCATAATCTATAAATCTTTCACATTGTATATCCTGTATGTTAAAGAATAAACATCTTATTTATAAACGTTTGTCTATATTTTATATATCACATCTTATATTTCATATAATACACAACTTTAATATGTAACTTTCATTATTTATATAACTTTTAATATACAACATGTATTTATGTCTGTGTATGTTATAATTAAAATTCAACGTGTGTATGTTTTATATTTAACTTGAATATATTCTACAACTTGCTTTATCGAATATAGTTTATATTATAAATATATATTTCGTATATAACTTATATTCCCATTTTGTTTAAAAACTTACATAACTTGTAGATAATACATATTTATATACGTAAACATATACATCTTATTGTACATCATTTATACATATATATATGTGTATATATATATATATATATATATAACTTCTATATAAGACAGCTGCAGCGTTTTATTGAATATAATAATCATGTTTTCTGTTTTTCTTCCTTCAGTTGTTTTTCTTCCACTTTATTTTTCCTCATGTTTCATTTTTAAATCTGTTTTTTTATGACTCAGTGAAAAAGACTTTATTAAAACCTTTTTTGAATCAGCGAGCTGTGGCAATAAAGTTTGGTTGAAGGATCAGAATCAGTCGTTCGTCTGTCAAAATCATTTTATTAAGAAAAAACATTTGGAAAAAAAACGACTATTCAAACATCAGGATACAAATCTGTAAAAATATAACAACAATAACAACAAAGGACCAACAGGTTTAAGGTGTCTGAAGTGAGGCATGCTGGGTAAGCACAAAGACATCATGGGAAATGTAGGACCCGGGTGTTTCTCAGAGTCAAGGAAGGATCCTGCAGAGACAGTCCTCCCTCTCATTCACTGGATCAGACTAACAAGTGTCCTCATGTGATCATCATTAACCCTCAGCAGACTGAGGAGGTTTCTCTTACTGTGACCAGTTTAACACTCTGTAATGTTGTTGGACAGTTTTAAACACGTGTCAGTATTGTCAGAGTCACTTGACTTTTAGGGAGAATATATTTCTGGATCATATTTAAGAGTAAGTGGAGTAATGTAGTAAAGCGCTCCATCTCTGCTGTGAATGATTCATTTAAACACTAACCCTCATCATGTGGCAGTGGACACATTATGAAGTGTCAATGAGGTTTCTGTCTGATACCGACTGTGCAGTGTTTGTGATGAACTATGACATTAGCTGGAGAACTGTCTGGAATGTGATTGGCTGATCTGTGTCCCCATACAAAGCTCCACCCCCTGATCAAATACTGAACAAACACACACACACACACACACTGGTCTATAATAACGATGATGTCACGAGGCGTGTGGTGGCGGTCAGCAGCGTGTCTCGTAGATGCCACTCCATCTGATGTAACAAACCCATCTGATGACATCATGGTCGCTGTAGTTGAGTTCTGGCTCGAACACCTTCAGACCTGAGGGAGCCTGAACGCCACACACATTGGGGGGGGGGGTTAATTTGTTAATGTGTTTAAATGATTTATTCCCGACTACTATATGCTTATGAATTATTTGTTGCAACGATTTTGACTAGCCTACTGTTTGGATGTTGATTATCTGAAACACATTTTCTTGGGCCTATAAATGAACGCCACTGAATCATGAAAGTAATATCTCAAGGTTTTTTTTGCACATCATCCTCTGACCACCAGAGTGTGTAACACACAAGCGGTAAGAAGTGCACTGGCTTTCTGAAATAATCATCTTCTGAATAATATCACGTAACGTTTAGCCATCATCTCACTTCCCTTCACTGATCAGAGTCGCTATGCTCTCGACGCTGCCGCCACAGCAGGTTTCCATGGCAACGCCTGTGAACTACAGAGATTAAATAGTCCGCTCAGCTGTGGCTTGTGAAAAACTCTTGATTTTAACTGTAAAACACATTAAAGCATAAATAATTGATTTAATATTAATGTCTTTGGTAAGTGACCATGGTATAAGTAAGAGTTAATGCCTGACGAGGTGTCCATGATCAGGAATGAATGGACTTTATCGCATCGTCCATTAATTCCTGATAATGGACATCTCGTCGGGCACTAACTCTTACTTATTTTTATTACGTATTTGAACTTAGTTTATAAGTGTATTACTTTATTATACATTTAATTAAAAAATGTAATGCTTATTCTTTACACTCATTTGAAGTTTATTTTTTAATATATTTATTTCCCATTTAATGTTTCTTTATTTTACATAAATTTTTAATGTATTTTTTTACACTTAATTTAAATTCATTTTTGAACGTATTTCCTTTATTTCACAATTGTTTTTTTTGTTTATAAGAAAAGATTTTTTTTTAAAAAATTGTATTTTACTTTTAATCCATCAATGTATTATTAATTTTTGCATTCATCATTTATTTCCATGAGTTAAATCAAACATGTTTATTAATTGCAGTGTGTGACACGTTCACCTCACCTTTTGCCTACGTCCTCTGAACTTCCTCCTTTGCTCTGCTTGTCGATGACGATCTTGTCGTTCATCCAGAACTTTACACTCTGGCATCCCGCTCAGGTAACTCTTCATCACCACATGCCCCGACAAGTGAGCGCTGAGCACCTGACCTGCACACATACACACACAGACGGTCAGGTGTGGGTGAGGATGGTGTGATGGCACCCTCTGGTGGATCACTGTAACACTCAGCTGCTCCTCACTAAACAACTATGATGCCCTTTCCGGCCATAGACATATATACTTAGACGCCGCATCGAGCGCTGAGCCGTACGTCAACGTTGCCGCCATATTGGATGTGGCAAGGCTGCGTTGTAAACTAATACAAGTGAATGGACTTAATTTCATAAAGCGTCTTTCTTCAAAGATATTTACTTTAATGCCTCTCGTTTATTCATTCACACACACACTAATATACTTGGGAAACAGTTAGGCACCAAAACAATGTATTTGATCTTCTCAGATGGCTAAGATAAGAACTTTATTGATCCCACACAGGAGTAATTCACCATACATCAGCTATAGAGAACAAGGTAGTGCCGGAAAAAATACATCATATATAGCCTACACACATATATATATATACAGTACAGGCCAAAAGTTTGGACACACCTTCTCATTCAATGCGTTTTCTTTATTTTCATGACTATTTACATTGTAGATTCTCACTGAAGGCATCAAAACTATGAATGAACACATGTGGAGTTATGTACTTAACAAAAAAAGGTGAAATAACTGAAAACATGTTTTATATTCTAGTTTCTTCAAAATAGCCACCCTTTGCTCTGATTACTGCTTTGCACACTCTTGGCATTCTCTCCATGAGCTTCAAGAGGTAGTCACCTGAAATGGTTT